GGGCCGGGAAGCAGAGGCGCGCGCGGGGGCTCCAGGGGCGTGCGGGCGGGCGCAGCTCGCTGAGCTGTCGTAGGGCGCAGCGGCTGGGGCTGCGGTGTTCGAGCGCTCGCAGACCGGTGCAGCATCTGCAGCGCGCGCTTGCAGCTGTTGGGGACTCCAGCGCCACGCTTGAAGCACGGCTCACTCGGCAACGCACGTGGCCCTCACCAGACCACCTTTATCGCCTCTGACGCCATCGTATGGACGTCTACCCCGCTGCTGCGGCCGCTGCCGCCGCCGCCGCTGCCGCCAACTCCCGCGCGACGGCTCCCGCTGCCGCCGCTGGTGCCATGCAGGGACAGATGGGGGGATCGCGGATCGCCAGTTGTGGTCGGTGTTGGGGCTTTCGCGAATATTGACTGCAGGCACGCAGACAGCTCAATCATCCATTTGCTGGTTTGAGAATCCTGAAAGCCTAGCTTGCAATCACACACGCTACAGGCGCACGAACGGCAGCCGCGTGCCGCGCGCCCCGCAAGGCCCCGCACCCGCGCGATGCGTGCGGCACAGCGGCCACAATGCGGCTCGTGACTGCTGCAAGCGCCCCCGGCTCGCCCGCCACCAGCTGTGCGCTGCCTTGTACATCCCACCTGCGGATGGGTGAGACCGCTGGTCAGCAGACGCGCCCTTCTGAGCGGCTGAGGCCCCCCAAACATATTGCCAGGGCACGCGGCCAGAAAAGCCGCAGGGCTCTTGTGGGCAGCATGAAGGCTTTGGCCACGCTTCGACACATTCCTTGCAGCCTCCGCCAAGGCAAAGCAAGCAGGCGCAGGCGCAAACTTGTGACAAACTCGTGGCGCCACTCGACCGGCGGCAACAGGGCGCGCTGGCAGACTTGGATGCACGCCGTTGGCGCAGGGTGGCGCCCTGCTGGCTGCAGCCGCGCGCTCACGTAATGTTTGACAGCAAGATCATCGAGTCCTCTGCTATGAGCGCGTTGGGGTTGCCCACCAGCGCCACCACCGCCGCCAGCAACTCCCGCTCCTGAACAACCTGGAGTCAGGGATGGATGACGAAAGCGGCACGCGGTCTCTGCAACATGTCATGCGTTGGGGAAAACAGGGCAACCCGCCTCAGCAGGCTGAGCTCAGGACGATCACCGCCGTGACGGGCACGCCGCCTGGTGGCTTGAATGCACCGCTGTTGCTTGAATTGCGGTTGGCTGCCAAGAATGAGTTGGCAGCAGTTGGGGGCATGCAGGAGCCCACCTGGCGGCAGCGGGCCTCCGCCTTGCCAGCGGTCAGATATAGGAGCAACTTGAGCGCCGCCCGGGACGTAGCCTGGCGGCACGGTGCCACCAGTTTGCGGGGCACGAAGGGGCGAGGAGGGGTTCGCAGGGTTCGCAGGGTGACGGCCGTTCGTGGAGCGGCAATGGCTCAGGGAAAGTGCACAGTTCCTGTGGGCAACAAGCTGTGGTCGGGCGCGGCCAGTGGGGGAGTCGAGGCTCAGCCAGCTGTCTGCTACTGCACAGCTAGCAGCGGCTCAATTAGGCATGCCGGCCTCGACACTCCACCCGGCTGAACCGAGGCCCTGCTTCAACGGCCCTGTGCGGCCCACCAGGTGCTTGACCAGGGGCAGCAGCGCGCGCAGCGTGGCGGGCTGCAGCACCGCGCTGGGTGCAGCCTCTGCGGCAACGTGTACATCCCACAGCGCGCCCTCTGCGCGGTCCAGCATCTGGCCCAGGGAGTGGCGCCTGCGCAGGACCTGCGGGGTGTGTGTGTGTGTGTGGGGGGGGGGGGCGAGCGTGCGCATGTGTGTGTGTGTGTGTTTGTGTTTGTGTGTGTGTGTACGCGCGCGTGCGTGAATGTGTGTGTGTGTGTGTGTGTGTGTGTGTCTGTGTGTGTGTGGGCGTGCGCGCACGCTTGCATGTGTGCACGTGTGAGTATGAGGGTAAGTGAGTGTGTGTGCGTGTGTGTGTGTGTGTGTGTGCGCGCGCGCGCCCGCGTGCGTGAATGTTTGCAGCACAAGATGCAGGGAGAATCTGACAGGCTCAAGCAACAGGCGCATGACGGAGTGTGGCGTGCGCGCTGCGCCCAGGTGCGCCATGCGCGGCCCGCAGTCCCAGACAGCACATGGTGGTGCAACCCAAGCCCTCAAGGCCGCCACATTGCCGTGCGCTGCGTGCGCAGCCCCAGGGTCGTAGAGGAGCGGCGCCGCTACCCCCTCACCCCGATCGCTCGCGTGACCGCTGCCTCCAGCGACGCAGCCTCCCGCGCCATGGACCCCTCCCCGCCGCCAGCCGCCGCTGCTACGGCTGTCCTGTGGTGACGGCAAAGCGGGAAGGATCAAATGGGCGAGTCGACCACTGAGGCGTGAGGCAGCGGCACGGCAAGAAGCGCTGCGTCACCCACGCCTGCTGTTGGTACCGCCGGCCGCTGTGCTGCCAAAATGGCTGAATCTCAAGCTGATACAGAGTATCGAGGCCCCACAGCATGCAGTACTGGTGATAGCGCTTGTGTGCGCTGCAATTCGGATGGCTGCATGCAGCATAGCGCAACCGCTGGCGTCCCCCATGTGCAGAATCCGCTGCTGGTGCCCTCAGCCGACCCAGGAGTGCACCTGCCGCGCGCCATCCTCTGTTATCAATAATTCATGATTACGAACATAACACCTGTGACTGGGTAGGTCTATGCGGTAGATCAGATGAAGTGCGCGATTGCGACAGACACGGTCCGGGGTCGCTTGGGGATTTTTCGAAAAACACTAGTCACATGGGGCAAGCATATTAATGGAGGGGAGCCGACGGTAGAGCAAGTGACGCTGCGCACCTGCACGACAGCAGATTAGTAATGGTCAGAGTGTGCGCAGCATACAAACAAAATGTGGGCCTGTGCGCCACACAACAAGCAAAGTGCTCCTGTAAAATCAAGAACAGAAGTACACCTGAACTACCTTGAAGTCGTAGTCGGCCGTCACCGTCTCACAGGAAGTATCAAGGCTGCGGCAGGCAGCAGAGTGCACAAAGCGAGTGCGGTATCCCTGCCCGTACCCGTTCCACCGAGGCTCGAATCACAAATCACCTAAGCATGACGGCGATTGGATCCGAGCGGCAGAAGAGGCTTGAGCTCAATGAAGGACATTGATGATGCTTGACCGCGCTCACTGAGCAGCTGGCAAGGAACACTAGCCCTTCGCTCTCAGCAAGCGTCGCAGGGTGCGTTGGCGCTAATGGTGAATGCCGCCACAGCAGGACAGCAACGGTCAGCGCTAGGCGAGATGCCCCAGGTTGTACAGCACCCCTCTGGTGCCATGCACCACCAACTCGGCTGCATGTTGCATCACTCCGACCCTACACACTTCACAACTACCGGCTCCTAGCGCCGCCTCTGTATTGCCTAGTGAGCATCATTTGCGTGTTGAGAGGCGTGGACACCAATTACTAATTCATCGCGCCACTGCTATTGTCGCTCCCACTGCTGCCGCCCACTCCCCCTCAGGATGCCATCAGCCGCTTCGCCGCCTGCGCCGCCTCGCACTCCGCGCGGTGGCCCATCTTGCACCAGTGGTCTCGGCAGCAGCGCTGGCTGCAGTACCGCACGCCCGTCAAGCTGCCGCACCCCGCGCACCGCCGCAACGCCGCGCCCTCCGCCTTGGTCTTGCCGCAGGCCGCGCAGCCACGCTGCTGCCGGCGCGCCCAAGCGGGGCCTAAAGCGGTTTGCTCCGCCGCCGCCGTTGCCACCACTGCTGCTGCTGCTGCTGCTGTGTCCTCTGCTGGTGTTGCTGCTTCTGCTGCTGCTGCGCATGTGTTTGCTGCTGCTGCTGCTGCTGCTGCTGCTGCTGCTGCTGCTGCTGCTGCTGCTGCTGCTGTTGTGGCTTCTGCTGCTTTTGCGGCTTCTGCTGCTGTTGCTACTTCGTCTGCTGCCGCTGCTGCTGCAGGCAATACTTGGATCGGCAATGCCACAATTGATACTCCTCCCGCTGCTGCTCGTGCCTTCATGGGCGGCGTAAGAGGCCCATCGAATGGCTGTGTCAAGCTATGGTGCCCCTGCTCACCAGGCAGCTGCGCCTGCTGACGCGCCTGCTGCTGCGCTGCAACCTCTCCTTGCCCCTGCCGCCGCTCTTGCTTTCCTCCCTGATGCTGCTGCTGCCCACCTGCCTGCTGCAGCTGTTGACGCGTTTCATGCTGCTGCGGCTTGCTTACCGCCTGCTGCTCCCGCTGCTGCTGCTGCTGCTGCTGCTGCTGCTGCTGCTGCTGCTGCTGCTGGCCCACCGCATGCTGCCGATGACGATGATGCTGCATGCCATCGCCCCACGCCGGCTGCTCTTGGGCCCGCACTGAGCCCTGACGCGCTCCCCGAGGCTCCCGCAGCTGGCGTTCTGGCCCCGCGGACGCGTCTGGCTGAGCAGCGTCCCCAACAAACGCCAGCGCATCATACCACATCGCCCCATTCAACGCGGCGCGCGCGTGGGACGCAGCCAGCAGCTCCCTGGAAGCTTCCAACGCAACCGTCGGCGCCCGCGGCGCCTGCAGCAGCCGCCGCAGCTGCACCCCTTCCGCGCTAGCCGCCCTGGCGCAGCCGACGCCGCGTCGCCTGCTCTCGCAGGCGCAGCCCCCGGGGTCGCCTACACAGAGCACTCCCAAGGCCAACACCAAACCAGGGTGCGCGCTGCCGAATCCGTCCGCTAGCCCGCCGCCGCGTGAAATGCCGCAGGGCTCGTTGCTGCGGAGCCAGCACACGCTGTCGCCAGCCCCTATGGGGAAGGCTGCCTCGCATGCCTTCATAGCTGCTGGCAAGCCGGATGCCAGCTCAGCCAAAAACGAGTGGGCGCACGTATGCACGTCTCTCAAGCACACTGCCTCCATGTGCCTGTCTTCGCCGTCCGCGCCGCCCTCGCCTCTGCCGCTGCCCGCGCTACCCGCCTCCATGTATATCCTGCAGAGCGCCTTGCAGCGCCACGCCTCTACGATTCCCAGCGCCAGCAGCGCCAGCGCGCTGACTCGCTCACAGCCGCCAACGCGCAGCAGCGCGCCCTGCAGCTCGTCGCACACGGCCAGCGCGTCGCGCGGCGGCAGCGGCGTGGACAGCTGCAGGCGGGGGGCTTCCAGGTCCTGCAGCGCCGTGATGATGAAGGCGGCCAGCATCTGGAGGACGATGGCATGGAACGGTGAGTCGCCGCCCGCGTCGGCCGCCGCCGTTGCCGTTGCGCCAGTCGCTCCCGGGGCGCTGGGGTGGGGCGCCGCGTGCGTGAAGCTGCCCGTGACGCTCCCGGGGCGCTGGGGTGGGGCGCCGCGTGCGTGAAGCTGCCCGTGAGGGAACCTGAGTATGGGAGAGGCCAGGGACAGCGTGGTTGTGGGGAGGTGAGGTGGCAGCCTCCAGAGACAGCCGAACTGCTGTGAGGCTGCTCGCCTGGGGCAGGACACTCGTTTGCACCCACGCGTTTGCGCGCGCACGCGCGCGCATGTGCGCGCACATGCACATACTCACGCACACTTGCACAAACACCCACACACACACACGAACAGAAACACACAGAAACACATTGGCGAGCACACACGCATACTCGCACACGCATGTGGGCTCGCACGCACACTCACATTCACACACACGGGCATGGACACACCCACACTCACAGACAGACGAGGCGCATTCCGCAGCAAGCCGGCGCGGATCCTGCCGGTGACGAGGCATCGTGAGGATCACCACGCTATCCAATAAGCCCCACCTGACGCGTCTTTGAAGAGCTGGAGGGCGTCCGTAAACGCAGCGTCGCCGCCCGAGGGGACGAGCGCCATCGCGGCCTGGATGGCGCGCGCGTACTCGGGCCCTCGCAACGCGCAGGCGCTGAGGAGTCGGGCAGCCTGGCACCTGAGCGTGCCGAGCAGCACCCAGACGCGGCCCCCGGCAGGCTCGCCGGCGGCGGCGCGAGGCGGCAGCGGCCGCAGGCATGCCAGTGCGGTGCTGAGCAGCTTGGGGTACCGCCACCGGCTCAGGGGCTGCTCGATCATTTCGGAGGGGCTGCCGCGGACGGCTTCGGCGCCTGCGGCAAAGTCCACCTCGCAAAGCGGCGGCAGCGCACGCACGACGGGCACCAGCGACGCCACTGATTCCTGCGCGCCGTAGACCGCGAGCTCCCAGGCCAGAGCTCTGCCCTGGAAGACGGCGGCGCCACACAGCGCGGCGGCGCCACTGAGCTCACCGATGCGCTGCACCACGCAGCAGGCTGCCGCAAACAGCATCCCGTGGTGCTGACACACCACGGCGGCCGCGCCGCCGTCCGCCGCCACCAGCTCCGACAGGGCCAGCACCGCCGAGGTACCTGTTGCCGTGACGTCGCCTGCGCCCGCGTCGCCGCCGCGGCCGCGGCCGTCGGGGGCGCAGGCCAGGGCGCCGGCCAGCGCCAGCAGCGAGAGGCCGCACTGCGATGCCACCAGGTCCCGCGCGGGCCCGGGCGCCATGCTGCCAAACATGCCGACCAATGGGTGCACCCCACTCGCATCCAGGGGACCCTCCGAGGCCCAGAACAGCGCAGCGTCCGGGTCGGCCAGCGCGGCGGCGGCCGCGGCGCGGCTGTGCGCGACGAGGTTGAAAAACGTGGCGCGCGCATCGTCCGGGTCGGTGTCCTGCCCCAAGCCGGACCTGCAGCTGGGCGCGTCCGCGTGGGTCAGGTGGCGGCGGAGGAAAACGGGCAGCGAGGGGCACTCGCGGCCGAGGGCCTCTGCGGTTTCAGGGTCCTTTTTGGGGTGGGGTGTTTGTGGAAGGGGGAGGGAGGCGAGGGGCCGCAGCCGGGGTGCGTCAGCCAAGACGGCAGGAAGCTTTAGGGGCAGCCCGCCGCAGCAGCAGCAGCAGCAGCAGCGGGCCACAGGGCGCCGCCGGTCCCTGCGCCGCAGGTGCAGGCCCGCGACGGCGGGGCGCGCGGAAGCGGCAAGCTCCGACGCGCTTGCGGCAGAAGCGAGGCGGCGGGACGCGCTCGCTGTTCGCTGTCGCGAGTGCGACTGCGCATTGATCAATGGTCTATCGTTGTGTGTATAAAAGCGCTCAGTCGGCAGGCCGCACCTCGGCCAGTAGAAACAGAAGCCTGACGGTCTGGGCTAACGCGGTCTGCCATGTCTCCACGTCCGCCGCCCGCCCGCCCGCCACCCGGCCGCCCCCCGCCGCCACGCACCGCCGCAGCGTTCGCTCGGCCGCGCGGCACGCAGCTGCGCCGCCAGCCGCGGCGAGCACGGCGCTTGGGTCGCCGCTGTTGGCGGCGTTGGCGAGGGCGGCGATGGCGGCCTCCAAGACTGCTGGGCACCGGTGGTCGAGCAGGGCGACAACGGCGGGCAGCAGCCCCGGCTGTTGCAGCAGTAGAAGGGTGCAGTCGCCGCTCACTGAGAGGTTCCTGCAAGCGAGGCGCGCGGCGGCAGTGGGCGGGATGGTTGCGGGTGCCTCGCGCCGGGTGACGCAGGTGGCCTTTGCCGTTGGGGTTTGTGCGCGCGGCACACTCGGTGCTTGTGAGATGGCTTGCGTCGTGCGAGGCGTCGCATATGCAGCAGCTCATGCCCCCTTGAAAACCCTGCGTTGCTGATGCGCCAGAGCAAGGGACCGCGCCGCCGCCTTGCTGGCGGGCGGCCCCGGGCAACAACCTGGCTGGGAGCTGAACCCTCATACGCCCTCGCGGCTTTTGGCAACGAAACGGGCGGGGATGCAGTTGCTTCAGCACGGATAGAATGCGTGGAGTGACACAGACACCTGGCACCCACCAGATCACCGTAACCGCCAGTAACGTCATCTCGTCCCTGGGGGCAGCACCGCCGCCGCTGCCGCCGCCGCCGCCGCTGCCGCCACTGCTGCCGCTCCTGCCGCCGCCGCTCTCGCGCGGCCCGCACCCGTCGCTGCGGGTAATCAAGACGAACAAGGGGATAGGGCATGAGACCGTGCCTGCGGAGCTGCTGCTGCGCGGCCATCAAAGTCAAAGGAAGCAGATGAGGCGATCGTATTCCGCAAAAAGCAAACCTAAAGGAATCCGTTGCATAAGAGCAAGGACATTGCACCCCTTGCAAGCAGCCCCGCGACGCTGGCCCTCACCCGTGCGCGGGCTGCGGCCCGGCGGCGTCCATGTGGCGCTGCACCGCCGCAAGCAAGCCCGGCTCTTCCGCCACGCGCAGGTCCGGGCCGTCCTCGCAATGGCTGCCGGTGTGGGAGTGGTGGTGGGCGACGGTTTAGGAGGCCCTGACCCCCAGCGGCCCGCGCTCGAAGCCTCCGCGCGGCCGCGCCGACGCGCGCGCCAAATGATGCGCCGCAGCCGGCAGCGGCGGCGCCGGCCGCGTAGGGGCCGCAGCCGTGCGCACTGCTGCTTTTGTTCGACGCGCGACGGGGCTCGCGACGCCGCAGCCTACTTACGTGAGGTTCGACAGCAGCGCAAGTGCGTCCTGCACTATGAGCGCGTTGGGGTTGCCCAGCAGCACCACCACCGCCGCCAGCAGCTCGCGCTCCTCAGCAATCTGGCGGTCCGCCGACAATGTGGGGATGAGGGGGCGGCGTGGGGCTTTGCCTGCTAAGGCACGCCCATATGGAACACGGGTCCCGCAGCACGCCGAGGTTTGGGTGCGACACTTACAGAGCATGGGACACACGAGGCAGGGAAGCGCGTGCAGGAAAACAAGGCCTCGCCTGGTGGCACCGGGCAGGGGCATCCGCCTCTGACAGGCAGACGAGCAGCCTCAGCGCCGCCCGCGTCGTCGGCTGGGGTTTGGGGGGCCGGCGGGGAGGGGCGAGAGTGAGGGGGCGGTGTGCTGCCGCACCCGGACGGCCCGCATAGAGG